CCCTGTTCCAGCTCCTTCCTAAAAAAGTAACTTTTCTTCTTTTTGAAACAGGGTCTCCCTACCTAGTTTAGGCTGGCCTTGAACTCATTACGTAGTATAGGCTGGCCTCAAACTCCCAGCAATTCTCGTCTCAGCCTGAGTGCTGGGATTACAGGGATGAACCCCACTCCGCTTATCCTCATTTCAAAGAGCAAATTAAGGCCTGTGCACCACCACCCCTGGAAAAAAGTTACAAGTTTTAACCTAAGATCAAGGCCCTTTCCAGCTTATGCTTAAGTGCAGAGCTGCCATGCTACCTACCCAACTCCAAGGAGTACCATTCACTGTCCCATGTCAAAATCTCTCTTATTCCACACTTCATTTTCCCATGTTCTACATACTTTAAGTTAAAAAAAATTTTTTAGTACCAAGGATCGAACTCAGGACCTTGCACTTCAGAGGCAGGTAGTGCCACGCCCCTCACCCCAATTCTTAGGAGTTGGGGATGTAGCTTAGTGGCACCTTGCCTGCCTGGCAAGCACAAGGTCCTGAGTTCAATCCCTGGTACTGCAAAAAGGAAAAAAATTCTTGCACATATTGTACATATCTTTGTTGAATGTGGATGTATTTCTAAACATTTTTTTTTCTATTTTTTTTTAAATTTTATTGAGTTTATTGGTACATTTTAGGGATACAGTACAGTTACATTCATTGTTGGGATAATGTACCTCTACATGGCAAGTCTTGATTTTCATTTTTTCCCCTTTCCTCTGCCCTCCCTTCACCCCCTCCTCCCCTCCCCATCTACAAACACTTTATTTTCATCTTTTCATTCTCTCACATTAAACATTTTAAAAATAGTAGCTGGGTGTGTTGGTGCACACCTGTAATCCCAGCACTCAGGAGTCTGAGGCAGGAAGATCACTGCAAGTTTGAGACCAGCCTGGGTTGCATAGTGAGTTCCTGGGCAGTCTGAACTACATAATGAGACCCTGTCTCAAAAAACCAAATAAATACATTTAAAAGAAGTAGTAACTTCTACACACTAAAGCATGTTTTACTTAATGTAAGGAAGAATGAAAGTGTGGATAAATACAACTTGAAATTAATGTGCAGTCAACACACACACACACACACTCACTCACTCTGAGGTGACTGCAGAATAAAAACAGCCCTAACCCTGTAGAATCGATGAGCTTCAGACCTATAAAAGTACAGAAATATTGGCTAGTCTGACTGCAGAAGAAAAACAATGAAAAATGCATCAGTCTAAGGTTGACAGGATGAAAAAGAAAGTTAAAACCAAACAACAACAAAAACAGCCAAGTGTGGGCATATGCCTATAATCCCAACACTCTGGGAGGCTGAAGCAGGTGGATCTCAGATTCAAGGGCAGCCTGGGTAACTAAGCAAGATTCTACCTCAAAATAAATAAAATAAAAATAAAAAGAGCTGGGGATATATTTCAGTGCAAAGACCCCCAGGTTCAATTCTCAATACTAGAAGAAAAACAAAAAGTTAAAACGGAAAAAGATGTGATGTAACTCAGCGCTAGAGTGTTTGCCTAGCAAGAGGTGGACCTAAGAGTTCTTCACCAGCACTGCAGAAACATACACACTCCAGATTGAGATCATACTCAAAATGTTAAAGCAGAATCCAGCTATTAATAAATAGGTGACTGTAGGTACCTTCAGAACTTGAAGATAAGGTCAAACTCTGAAATCAAACATCTTCTGAAGTGGGTATGGGAGTGCATGCTGTAAGCCCAGAAGCTGAGGCAGGAGGATCCCTGCAAGTTAGAGGCGCGCCTGGGCCACACAGCAAGTTTAAGGTCAGCCTGAACTATGAAACACAGCGAGACTCTGCCTCAAAAATACAAAGCAGGGGGCCTGGGTTTTAGCTCGGTTCCACCACCTGCCTTGCAAGTGCAAGGTCCCAAGTTTGATCCCTGGTACAAAAACAAAACAAAAAACAAACAAACAAAAAACAAATCCCAGAGTAATAGTAATGACAGTAATAATAAAGTAAAAAAGAGTCAAATTAATGAATTAAGTAGGAATAAACTTAACCATTTGTGAAAGTAATCTACCCTAAGAAATGCTGTCACTATGACTAAAGTGACTAGGAAATACCCAAATATAATTGGTGTGATCAGGAAGTTAAGTTTCTGTAAGGCAGCCTGACATTAAAAACGGCAAGGTATAAGCCAACCAATGCAATAAATGTAAAGCCTCCCAATAAGGAATATTCTAAGCACAAAGGTATGCTTCCTTTTTTGGTCTTGGTGGGTTTTTTAACTTGACTATTTCTTTTACTCCAATTTGCTCACTAAGTAATCTCTGGTTTTAATTTTGTCTACCTAGGTTCTTTAATTTAGAGAAATGATCACTTGTCTCAAAAAAAGTGTAATCTAAGCTAGGTATAGTAGTGCATGCCTATAAATCTAGCACTTGAGAGGCTGAGGCAGGAAGATTGTGAGTTCAAGGATAACCTGAACTAAAGAGCAGGACCCTGTTTCTTTTTTTTCTTTTATTGAGTTTATTGGTACATTTTAGGTATACAGTACAGTTACAATCATTATTGGGATCTTGTACCTTTACATGACAGGTGGTCTTGGTTATCATTTTTCCCCCTTGTCCCTGTCCTCCCAGGACCCTGTTTCAACAAGGTATACATAGTCTGTGCTGGTGGTGGCAGACGTATGGAACCTGTGCCACAGCAGGTTGTTTATCTTTGAAAGCGCTTGCAGCACTGGTCTATATTGAAAAATGTAGCCTGGAAAAAAATCTTTACCCTAAAACATGTAGCTGAGTACATTCTAATTGCTCAACCACATACAGCTTTTATGACAAAGTTTCTGTATACTGCTGTTATTAGGTTTCTTGTGGGATTACAGGCATGTGCCCACCATGCCTGGCCTAAACTAGATTCTGTGGAGCAAAAACAAGTATCTCTTACCTATCTACTACTACATAACAGGTTCTGTTCTAGATGCTGGGAACAAGTAGAATTCCAAGGCCCTATGGAGTTTCATTCTAACTTGGGGAGAAAAAAATATTTAAAGACCAGAAAATCAAAGAATATGCTACTAAGAGGTAGTAGGTGTTAGGAAAAACAGAAAGCAGAATAAAAGGTCATATCAAAGGGAGTGGTTTGTGACTCTGAATGGGATGTTTAGGAGAGCATCACCCAAATGATAATCTAGCCCTAAACACCTGAAAGAGACTGACTCCTAAGTCTGAAAGAGTTCCACAGTGCCAAGATGAATGTGGCTAAGTTGTTTAAGTCTCTGTGTCTTAGTTTTCTCATCTGTAAAACAAAACCACAACCCCCCAAAAAACAACAAACAAACAGAACGCCCTACATACCTACCTCACAAGATTATGATGACTGGTTACTATTTGTATAAATCTTGTGACACATTATGCACTGTGAATTGAGGATTTTCTGGTTTGTTTTTTGTTTTAAAAATATAAAATCTAGTAAAAGGGATGTGTCATGTAGGTATCAGGGCAAGAGTATTCCTGATAGAGATGGAACAAGGGTAAAGATCTTAGTACTGAAGGGGCAGCCAAGCCAATGGCTTAAAAGACAGTGAATTTTGTCAAGAAACAGGTATCATTTTAGTGAGAAAGGGACGATGGCAAGAGGGTGGGGCTGCTCCCAAACTTCTACATGAGGAGCCCCTAGAGAGCTTTTTCAGCAGAGTGATCAACTGCTTTGACTTTTTAAAAGAATCACTGCATTAAAAACTGACTCTTGGAGAGGCATAATGTGTACATGTAGGGGTAAAAGACAAGGGGCCAGTCAAAAATCTATTCTAACTTAATCCAGGCAAGAGACAAGGACTTAAACCAGCAACGGCAACAATGGAGGACATAAGTGGCTGGACTCTGAATATGTTTTGAGAAAAGAACCAATAAAATTAGCTAATGTATTGGGTATGAGAGGAGTCAAGGATGAATCTAAGTTTTTGACTTGAAAAAAAGATGAGTGGACATTAACGAAAATCAACTACGGTTTTAAGAGCTAAAAACGACTGAGTCCTAACTACATATAATCAAGCGCTCAGATCTTACAAGCATGATCACACTTAATGCACACTACCCATATGGTGGGTGTGGCCCATTTAACAAGTAGAGAAACCTGCTGATTATTGGTAAGCTTGGTAAAATGAGATTCTAAACTAATAGTTGTCTCATGAGCCTATGTACTTAACCAGTATTAAATGTATCACATGGTCGCAGAATCTACCATTATGCTTAAAAAAATAAACACTCAACGAATATTACTGAACAAATACCTGTTCTGATCACAGGTTAATAGGTCAAATGACCTGAGTACAGCACAGAAGTGTTTAGCCTTTTCAGATCTCTGCCACTTCCTGTACCCTGAGAAACAACTTTTGGAAAGTCAGGAAATTACTTATCTTTGGGGGGAGGCGCAGAACCAGGGATCGAACTCAGGACCTTGTTTGCCAGGCAGGTGCAGCACCACTGGGCTACAACCCTTGCCCTAGTTATCTTTTTAATTCAGAATCATCATTACAGAGAGGCAAGGGACTAGTCTTTCAACCTCTTCCCCTTGGAGGAGGAGCAACTAATGTGGCCCATCCAGAAATGATACTAATTCTACCTGATCTTAACACAAGACTGGAAGTCTGAACCAGAGGACTACACTGTCACTCACCTCCCCAGGGCTTCCCATTCGGATTTCCCAACCCTGTCGCCAGTCGACTTCCTACTCAATACTTCACCTCACTCCAGCTCAACTATATTCCCTACTGTGAACCTCCAGTTCCGCAACCTTTTAATGAACGCCGTCTTCTGAAACTGCTAGGCTGCTGAGGTGGGTGGGCGTGTCCTCCCTGAGCCTTACCCACCCAGCAAAACTCCCAGTTAAGAGGCTCTTCCCAGGGTTCAGCCTCTCGTAGCCGCTGCCTCTGCAGTACGATTTAACAGGGCAGGATCTGGGGGTAGGAAATGCATGTTCCAGCTTTAGCTCTGCCGCTAACTGTTTACCTCTTGAGTCCGTTTACTCCTCTGACATACAGATGCTGCAACTGTGCATTCTCAAAGGCTCAAGTGGACCCAGATCCCGGGCCCTGCGCGTTATGCAACCTGGTGATTCGCTGTGCTCGGGTTCCGGAAGCCCTCTGGGCCGCAGCTAAAGGCCAGGAACCCAATTCACGCTCCCTCCCCGCGGCCGGGGCCCTGCTTTCGTGCACATCGCCCGCGG